TTTTGCCATTATCATAGTCTAAAATTTTTGATATGATATTGAAGTGACAAATCAACTATTATGGGGAAAAGAACATAAAATCAGTTTCAGATTCGCTTCAGAGAAAATGGTTCATGGTCATGTTAGTCATACTGTTCATACCTCTGGTATTATCGTCTTAAGATCCATATCTTGTACTCAATTATTCATGGTAGTCCCATGTTCTAAAATTGTAGTATCAATTTACCAATTTATCTATACATCAATATTGTGGTAAACATTGTTATTCAAAGTTTAGCCCTCGATGACCATGAATGATGTCTTTACGATTCAATAGTAGTTGCATTTTGTGTTAATAAAAGAAACAGATTTTGATTCAGAGTACAATCAGGTATTCAGTGTCTGCCATATTGTGGTTAACATGCAGGTTTTGATCGAGTAGGAAATATCTCTATGTAATTACATGTAGAAGGTAAGGAGTAATGTTAGTCTCGGGATATTTCGTCTTTTACATTCATTTTATGTTTAATTGTTCACTTGAATGATTGTAATACGTTTTTGAGTTCTAATTTCGACATGAATGTTCACAATACTGGTCTATACTGAAAACATTTGAGGCTAGGCCTGAACTAAGAATTTTTGTCATGAGAATTTAGTGTTATTTATTTATATGTCGCATTATAAGGAGAGGTTACCAGACAAAACATAACTTTACTTGTCTTGGGGTTCGGACTATTGGCTAAAATCGCAGACTGCACCACTAGTTCTCTATTCCAATGTCAAATTGTCTGCTTACACTAGATTTTGTTTGAATTTTCCAGTTGTACGGTAATGAGAAAAGATTGTTGAATTGTGATTGTAAACATTTCTCACGTTGTACATTAGTCTGTTATACCTTTTGATAGATTAAAAAGTGTCTATGGAGATATTGTAGTTCACCAAGCTGTAACAGGAAGTGTTTCTGTAGTATGAGTTCATGGCTCTATGCCTTATCTCCCTTTTGATTGATTTACATGGTTTATCTATCAGTTTGCTGTTTGTCATTAAGAGGATTCTATTGTCACTGTGCCATATTTGACAAAAGGCATTTCTGAATGACAGATATTACTTCATTTTCTGGTTTTATTTCTGGTTTGGAGGATATGTTGTTTTTTTTGGTGTCAGGTCATCTTCTTTTCACACAGTTTATCTCTACCCCAAATGGAAAATGTGTGTGCCATGTTCAAGGTGTGGTGTCATGGTTGTGGCAGTGTTTCATCCTATAAAATATATTGTGTAAGCTACTAGATAGGCCCAAAATATTGCCAGGATGTTCTCCACTTGCAGGCTGACTTTGACTCTCCTGGAAAACGTTTAGGTTGCTCTCTTCTTCAGCGGGCGCATGGGTGGCCCAGTTGTCTATGGTGCTGTGATTTGCTGTGCAGAGTTGCATCCCTTGGAAACATATGATTGTGGGTTTGAATCCTGGTTCGCCCCCATTATGTTTCTAAATTTGTCAGCACCATATCGTGCTCGTTGGTTTCACCGATCTGGTTACCGTCTGAGAATAACTGGAATACTTTTAAAAGCGGCGTTATACCCAACCCACTCACTTACTCTTCTTCAGACCCATGATGATCCAGGGTAGAACAAGTCTTCAGCAACCCATGCTTGCAGTAAAAGTCAACTATGCTTGTCGTAAGAGACGACTAATGGTATCGGGTGGTCAGGCTCTCTGACTTGTTTGAAGCATGTCATCAATCTCAATTATGTGGACTGATGCTCATGATGTCAATCACTGGATTGTCTGGCCCAGATTCGATTATTTACAGACCGCTGTCATGTAGCTTGAATATTGCTGAGTGCGGCGTAAAACAACAAACCAACCGCTCTTCTTCATCACACTGTCTCTTGGAATTCTGGACCTGTCCAGCAATGGGTTTGGGTTGAGGAGCTGGAATAGGGGTTGGAGAGAGATTAAGATATTTCTCCCTAAATAGTAGTGATATCGCGATTCACTGGGACTTTGCACGACATGATACCCGAAGCACTTTATTTGTCATCGATTCACATTTAACCCCATATCCATTGTCCTTGTTGATCTCGCATCGATATCAATAAGCGAGGACAAACTATTTTTTTAATTCCTCATGATGTTCTTGGTCGTCTTTCGGATACGAAACAGGCCTGATGATATCAAGAGTGATCAGCTTTTCCTTGCTGCCTGTCATAATACAGTACGTAAACTTGTTGTTTCTTATAATTTTCTCATACAGACAGAATAGTGTCATGTTGATGGGTTTTACTCAGTTGTTAGTTTTCCTTCTTTACATTTATGGCGAGTCTATGGACTTTTCTCAGTCTTATGGCTGGATTTTCTGTATCAAGATATGTATGGCAAATTTCTACTAGTCCTTATGATACCTTAACTATTATGCAGTTTGACAAGGACTACAGGACAAGTGCTTATTTCTAATGCTACAATTGATACATATAATCATGGGTCCTACTTCCTCATGATAAAACTGATAACACCAGCTAGCTACAAATGTTGGAAAGTTAGACCATGGTGTGCCTTTAAAGGCCTATGTTCCCTATAAATAGTGGACCTCTCCCAAAGATGGCAGTGACAATCTTGACTTCAAGCTGTTGAAATAGTACAGCACTTGGACTGCTCTTCTGAAAATATTAATATTAGTAGTTCAAAGGCATATGTTTGCTCAATTGTCACTCCATTTACTCCAGGGATTTCTGAGAGTAAATCGGCCTATAAATACAATTTCCAAATAACAATCATGGATAGATATTTTGAAAAGAAATTTGAAATAGCTCAAGAAATTCATAACTTCTAAAATTTGACAGTTCCATCTGTAAAAGTTGTAAGGAGATAAAGGTGTTGCCAAGGACTGACTGTAAACAAAGCCGGGTCGTGGAGGGGAATGTAGACAGATATTTGTTAAGAGACACAACACATGTTTATTCTAAGAAAATACTTTAACATAGTATGTATCCAAGTGATCCATGATCTACAGCTAGAGAATGTTCAGCTCTGAGACAAGACAGAAGGATGGCATACTACAGGTGGCACAAGGGGACAGAATGCCCTTCTGTGTTATTCAGAAAGCAAGAATATTGATGCCTAAGACCATCTTCTTGAGGCCAGGGAGTTAACCGACTCTAAATTTCCAGTTTCCACCCTTGCCAAATTAGGCTGGAATTTCTTGGCTAGATTGTAGCGCCACCAGTGCCTATTGCGAGTTATGTCCCTTCCATGTCCCTCCAATTGACTAATCATATTCCATCTCTATGTAACCTGCTTTTACAACAGGGGGCACGGGTGGCCCGGGTTGCCCAGTCGTCTAAGGCGCCGCGATTCGTTGTGCAGAGTTGTGTCCCTTGGGCACGCCAGAAACCTATGATTGTGGGTTTGAATCCCGGTTCGCCACGATTATGTTTCTAGGTTTGTCAGCACCATACCCGTGCTCGTGGGTTTCACCGAAGTGGTAAACGTCTTAGACCTGCATCACTTCGGGCTTTCCTCCCACATTAAGCTGACACACCGTGATATAACTGGAATAATGTTAAAAGCGGCGTTATAAAACTCAAGTCACTCACTCACTGCATTTCCAACAAAATGGCGGTGCCCATTCAAGTCGATCTGATTGATAATCAAAATCTATATTGTAATATAACGGGCCATACCCCGCAAAGTGAATCAAATATCTGGACGCCCAGATTGTGGTAGACATGCTTTGCAAATCCTGCAGTCAACTGAAATCTGCATGTTGAAATCCATGTTGTTTGTTACATGATTTTGATTGGACTATGCATAAACTCGTTAGTCCAGCCAAAATGAAACTCCAGAATTCCAGCATAGTTCGTCAAGGGACGAAACAGGACTTTTATAGTCAGCTAACTGCCTTACCTGGGGAAGATGGCCTAAGACTGACAGGGAGGAGTATGTTGGACATTGGTGGGAGAATGTGTAGAACATTGGAACATTCCTTTGGAAAGATTGAATGATTAATGATTAGTACACATTTTGTATTTTGTTCATTTCTATGGAAAATTCTAATGTAGATTTGCTAGATAGTTGAAAAAACATACACCAAGTTTATTGCCAGAGTGTGGTGTATATATTTTGTAGTAAACAATTATTTGAATGTGGGTTTTTTAAGTAATTATTAAGAAAATTTCCTTTTGGATTTTTATCATTTCTTTACTCCTCAGTTTAAAAGTGCCATTCAATGACATACGGCAAATGCCTACACAGCCACATGGCCAAAGCAGAAATCTCTATCAGGCTCATATTTCAGTCCCCCCTCCACTTGGTGGGCATGGGCTAGGCTAAAATGTTTCTCCCCTGGGAGAAATACTTGGGCCTTTATAGTTAGCCATATATGAACATCTTACACAATGTTTTGACAGCTCCCAAAATGAAACCGTAAGCATAAAATGCGCTTTTGCTCGCAAAGAGGAACTTTGAAAGCCATTTTGTCAGTTTGCTTCTTCTGTTAAAGTGTTAGATTTTCTTGTGATTTTGTCATTCATTATTGAAAAGGCAGTAACTGGAGATGGTTTGTATCTGTCTGCTAAACATTTTGGTGAAATATCCAAACAATGATACTAACAAGAGATGTATGTCATGTATGGGATTTCTTCTTGTAGCAAATCTGCTATGCCCTTCCTTATGTTTGAATCTCTCAAGGGCAGAGGCCTAGTTCTGTATCTTATAACTGCATCAGTTTCTACCGAAATGCACGGCATGGAAAAAATCTGTATCTGTTATTGTTCCTTAATTGAAATCTGTTTCACAACTTTCTATAAGACTGTTACTGTATTCACACACATAAATTCAGTAAGCATAGAGGATAAATCATACAAGTAATTGAAATGTCAGTTCTACATTAATGTTTATTTAATATTGTCAGTCATCTAGAATCTGCTAGTATTAAACAAGACTCTTCTTCATCATCACTGTATTTACTTGCAAGTGTAAGACTATTTTCTCATTTTTCAATGATAATCATTTTGTGTTTCAGGTTGAGCTGGCGTTGTGGGATACAGCTGGACAGGAGGACTATGACAGACTCAGGCCTTTGTCTTATCCAGATACAGATGTCATCCTTATGTGTTTTTCCATCGACAGCCCCGACAGTTTAGAGAATATTCCAGAGAAGTGGACGCCAGAAGTGAAGCATTTCTGTCCTAATGTACCTATCATATTAGTAGGCAACAAAAAGGATCTCAGGAATGATGATAACACTAGGAGAGAACTGTCCAAGATGAAACAAGAACCAGTTAAAACAGAAGAAGGCCGTGCAATGGCAGAGAAGATAGGTGCTTTTGCCTACCTTGAGTGCTCCGCCAAGACCAAGGAAGGGGTTAGGGAAGTCTTTGAAACAGCCACAAGAGCTGCCTTGCAAGTAAAGAAGAAGAGGAAGGGCAAGTGCACCTTGCTTTAGACCTCTGGAACTGCAACAACCTGCATGGGAAAGGCACGTCTGCCAGGGAGGAGGAACCAACATTAGCTGGACATCTCACATGTATGCGTAATTCTTTCTTTCCAGTGTAGAGCCAGGCTCAGCGGATATTCAGTGGCCAACCTTACACAACTGTCCATGTGAGCTGGAGGCAGATGGCAAAGTGACAGTCCTATGTAATATTTCACAACCGCTCAGCCGATTTCTTCACTGCTAAGACAGGAGGTTTAATTTCCCGGCAGCATAGGCTCAGCCTTGCCATGTCCCAGGGCTGACAGCTGCCGCAAGCTACTGTGCCAGTGTTGGTTGTTCAGGTGTACATGATCATTGTATTGAATGTCACCAGCTTCCCAGCAGGACTGATAGAGATTATCTTTAGGGATCTCTTCCCTTATTTGCTTGATGAGTATGGATCTGCCTATCAACACACTGACTTGGAGAGCGAGTATTATGGTACTTGTCAAGGCCCAGTGATGTATGGATGCATTTGCTGTCAGTCTCTTTACTTTGCCTGTGGCTGCATTTAAATTCCATTTACCTTTCATTCCCCCACCTCGTCCCCCTCCCTGCCTCCAGAATGTGTGAATCAAAAAAGCAAACGCAAGTGCATGAGTTTGTGTTTCTAATTACAGACTGATGGTGTATATGATTCATCAAGGGAAGTATGTAAACGGTTGTATGTTCCGTGTTCTCACCCCACTGTCCACTGGATATGATCACAATTACTCGGCCTTAGAAACTGAGGTAGTATTTTAACAAAGTATTTTTCCACATTTATTTGCCTTGTAGTACATATGATGCTTACTGGAGTAATCTTGTCTTCAACGGCTGACAAACAGAAAACAGTTCATGAACTGTACTTTGAATTTGGTCTCAAGAGGCAGGCAGTTGGTGTGAGAATAGTGGCAAATGCCAAGGTTGTTATCAGCTATATGTCCTAATGTGCAACTTACTGCAAGGTGCAAGAAAATTCAGATAAACTGTGTATTGGTCATGAATCGCCTAATCTTGTATTCTCATATTCTTGCTAGCTCATCATTTTGCCTGGTTCTCTGTACATGTAGTTGTGTATGTCTTTTGTCTATAAGCTATGTTTAATACTACTTTATTATCTAGATCATGACTGTGAATAAATCCTTTTCATATTGTCTTGGGAGTTAATTCATTCATGCATTTATGCAATTCATAACCAGTAGGTAGATGCATCCTCTCTGATCATGGCTGGGTTTCCTCAGCGTTGTTCTTGGTGGTAGAGAGTACTGTTCCTGCAGTGAAGCAGGCTAGCCTTTCGGCTTGAAATCTCACAGAAATTAGACATATTGAAGACAAAATGAAATGAGTGCCATTTTACAACTAATCTTATAACCTTAACATTTTTTGTCTATAATAAATACATTACTTGATTGGAGATTATTGACTTTTCTTTTTGTTTTTGACTACCATACACATGATACAGGATTACTTCAGTGTGTATATCTAGCCTAGCTTGTCAGGAGATGTAAACTATGACCTATAGCACATCAGGTTGTAACGAAGTGTTGGTGAACTAAAAGGGTATAACAACAAATGTTTTCACAAAGAAAAATTTTGCTGGAGCGCTACCGTGAAATGTGTAGGAGTCAATCTAAATCAAATCCAAATCATTTACTCCTTTATGATGAAAATCTGGGACCTGTTCCACAAAGCCATCTTAGCGCTGAGGTGATCGTAAGTCCTGTACTTTAACACTGGCTTACGATAGTCATAACGCTAAGATCGCTTTGTGGAACGGTGCCCAGGTTGCAGAAGGTAAACCATCGGCAAAATTTTATAACCCTATCTTGATGCAATTTGACTTCAGCTTATCAGATGTCAGCTTTCTAAAACGATTTGGCTACACCCTTGGATCAGAATTTTCAATATTAAGAATAGAAAAATCCCAAATAGTACAAAAATTCCTTCAATTCATCCATTTTGGGTATCGATGACTAGTTTTTGAGATACTGAAATATAAAATCTGTTCTGCTTTGCTCTTGCAATCATATTTGAAGCGTGTCTCGAGTATTCAGTAATTTAGAGATCACATACTTCCGTGAGTTCTCCATGTGTATCTCTTGTGGTCAGCTTGTTGGGTCGACCTTCAATCCAATAAATTGTTCCAATTCAACTGATTGTTGAATTTTGTGCACAGTTGTGGGAAAGTCTTGAAGCTGTAGCTTCAAAATTAAGCATTGTTGAAAGAAAAAATCAAAAGCTTAAAAGTGACAGTAATTAATGCCAAGTATCAAATTTACAGTTTTCCATAAGGTCTCCAAAATCAGTCACCTGATTATTCAGATTATTATTCATAATTTGAATATTTTGTGAATAACTAATGAGCTTTTGGCATTCAGCACGAGGAACACACTTCACAGGTTTCAACTAGTTATTGTATGAATTACCCTTTAGAATAATGCATGACATTTAAACCACCCTAAGTAACTTCACTGTCCACCTAATGTAGGGATGACATGAAGTTATTGATTTGTGGCATGAACAATGGCAGATGGTATATATAAATAATGTTCATCTAAACATGGCATTATGACTTCATAATCATGTTACTTTGACCACTTTGCTTTTGAGGTCACTTAAAGGCTCCAGATAATTCATCAATTGAGTATTTACTCGTCATTATGCACTTTGGGTTTTTGATAGTTTTCTTTGGCTATTTCGGTACATTTTTATTCCTTTGGGGCCAGGGTATTTTTAAATGAATGAGAGACATAAATTTTTTAAATATTTTTCTTAAAATGCTGTTTCAGATAACTTCATTTCTTCTCTTCATTTGCTGCCTCAACTATCACATGTCACATGAGCTCACAAGGACTGTTACAACATGCGAGCCAAAGCCCTTTTGTACATTATTCACTATAGTAGAGTTAAGGGATAGGTGATGCCTGCATTTGATCCATAAGTGTAGATTTCAGGTACACGAGCTGAAAGGGACACACTGAGGAATTAAGTGTAATACAACTGGATTAAAATAAATAGTTCTTGAATTTTCATAAGCAAACAACTCCAAAGTAATTGGGTTATGATATATTTTGTGTATTTTATGCAAACATGCAGCTTATATGAAGCTCTGTACTTAATGCAATATGTGCAAATTTGATGTTTCTTATGTGATCTTTCAAACCTTAATGTGAGCAACAGATACAAGACCTTGGGATCAACACATGTCTATGGTATATTTCAAGTAGGTTTTATGTGTCTAATAGAATATTAACACTGCCTTGCCAAGAACTTGTACCATCTTTACTTGAAGAATGAAAGAAAAGTTATGTTTTTGAATTGTTACAAATTGGAAAGTGTTACTTCTAACCAATGTAATTATTAATCAAGTTTGGAAATATCTCGAAAAAAATTCTGTTTCTAATGCTTTATTTCAGCCAAGATATTTAAGCTGGAATATGGTACAAGTCCTGTAAAATACTATTTTACAAGTTGCTTGTACAGATTTGCTAGCCATGGCTGCCAGAAAGGGAAAATATCTGTTTTTGGTATTGTACATGATAAATATCAGATCCATAAACCCAAGTTTTTACAAAAACAATGTGTGTTGTGTAAATAAAAAAGGAAGTCTAGCATAAATATGGTATAGGGACAGCAAGTTGTAACCCAGTGTGTATGGTGAACAATAATGGGGAACTACATTGAACATGATAGTGAAAAGTAATACCTTGAGAGAACAATGAAAATTCCGCTGATCAGTATCTAACGACATGTTTATGCTACATGTATTTGCGACAAAGTTGGTTTAGGCTTGCAATCAATTTGTTTTCTATCAGGAACTAGACCCAGATGTCAAAGGCATGATGCCATTTCAGCAAGCAGAGTACATTCATGTTAGTTAATTGCAGGGTATTCAGATAGGACTTTCCATGGATTTCTTGACCTCAAGGATAAATTTTGTTATACATGCCATTGTAATATACATATACATCATGTGGTCCCCAAGACTCCAAACAAACTTTCATTGTTTAAAAACATTCCCATCCCAGAATATTACAAGAGGGAGCTTAAATAAGCAGTCTCTCAGTTGTCAGATGCAGTTTTGCCATTGAAAGAACAAAACCATTGCAATCCCAGATAACCAGCAGTACAAATACTAGGCAGTTAAGGCTTCTCTTGCATGGATGGCTGGAATGGCTTTTTGAAAGAAAGGGGATGCACACCCTCTTATGGTTGCATACCAGAAATTTAAGAATAATGTGAGGTGATGGGTATATCAAGTGTCAACTTTAATGAGTTGGATGCATTTATCTTGTAAATTATCTTGTCAACCCAAACAGTATGCATCCATTGATGGGGCTGTATCTGTGCTTGAAAACATACCTTAGGTGATCAGCTTGATTTTATGGATATCCTTTGTACTTGAAATATATGTCAAGTTGATTGCATGAACAAACCTTTAGAATCCGAGAAGAATAAAGTTATATCCCTTTGCTGTAATCAGGAAGCAAGCTTGTAAATGGTGCAAAATAAGAAATTAAACCTGTTTCCTTACATTTCTCATGATTCGCCTTAAAACCAAAAGAAACAAAAAGTTCCTCGATTTCTCTGATAACTATCATGGTGTTATCCTGGAGTATCAGAAAATAAATAAATTAATTTAATTGATTTTAATTAATTAGTTAAACAAAGTTCCATGATTTCTCTGACAACTATGTTGGAGTTATTCTGGAATATCTATGGCACAAGTACTCTGATGCCATGTTTTACACACTCTCAATTGTGCAGATATTTCCTGGGTCCCAGACATGCCAGATGTATGAAGTAACTTTGGCCTTGTTGAGTGTTGAATAATATTTTTAACCTGTCAAAAACTCAACTTTTACTAATGGGTTATTCAAGTAATTGAAAACAATTTTCTGTTGTGAATGGAGAAATTTGTATTTCTGTTGTATGAAACAAGAACTCATGTATTGAGTTCTCTATTTGTTTTGCAAACACTTCGAGAATTACTTCACAACCAATTGTGGGGCGGTGTGATAGCCTTGTGGGTAAAGCGTTTGCTCGTTAGCCGAGGACCCAGGTTCGATTCCCGGCATGGGTACAATGTGTGAAGCCCATTTCTGGGGTCCTCTTCCCCACAACAACCTATTGTGATGAGATATTTTAGTGTAGCTTCTTTCAGTGTGACGCTAACGGCTTTCATAAGAATCCCCCACCTGTTTGGGTGTTCTGAAATATATCTGGACTCTGTAAAAGGCGAAGGGTAACCATGAACATTTCTTTTTTTACAAAGTTGCCTGAGAGTCATTACAATGATTGGGTACATTTGCAGACCTTTTATGAACTTATATATTTTTAGATTTTTTAAATTTTTTATTTATTGAAAGTAAAGGAGCAACATGTACAAGTCTGAACCACTGCAGAGGTGGAGGACTTAGTGGGGCTACCCACACAAATACCACCATTTCCAATCTTCAATGTGCTCTTGAGAGCCTTATGAACGATTCGTACAAGATGGACCAGACAACGCGTTTCAACAAACATTAGTAGGCCACACACCGCGGCAATGAGAACGTTATGTGGAACCCATAGGACCCATTCTACAAAGTGACTACACAGGAACATATCACCTTATAGGATTTCATAGGTGCATAGTAACAGTCGACTATAATTTAAGGTTGTCTTGAACATAAATTGTACATGCCAGCGCAAACGATTTTATATGACATTCCGACAAGAGCGTGACCAAACGGCCGGTTCCACAAAGCGATCGTGTAAGTATGGGAGTTATCATCTTAGCGCCGAGACACCTTTGTGGAACGAACTCCTGATGTCTCGCAATATGACATATTTTGGCGCTTACATTTACACGATTTCTCATGCATACAACCATTATTTTAAAAGATGTGATTGAAAACCTCAGTCAAATAGCCATGCGACCCATACGGAAATGAATATGGATGTTCTATTAAGTCCTGTATTATGAAACTACGACTGTCGGAACTCCAATGCTTGAACATAAACTTACGATAGTCGTAGCGATACGATCCCTTTGTAAATATGGGCTCTGGAAAGTAATCCAGGTTCCACAAAGAAATCTTAGCGAACGATTACTTTAACTCTCATACATACTATTCGAAAGTGCTTAGGTCACTGTGAAACGGAGGCCTGAATTTATGAGTATTTAAAAACAAATGGGTGAGTTTTCAGTTGGTATGTCACTCTTGCCAAAGTAATATTGGCATGGCAGGGTGAGTATCAGGGCAAAACCGTGCTTCTAGGAAGGTCACGTGGCCCTCTCTTAACCAATGAAAATACAGATAAAGCTATCAATGATATGAGGCATTTTGCATGTGCGATGGAGACGGTCATATCACAGGGGGTGTAGTAACCAGACCCGTATGGCACCACCTGCCGGACTAATATGGTTTGTCAATGCATTTTGAATGGGGGATCGATATTAGCCCGGGTGGTAAGACATTAGAGTTACGTCCCTTAGTACGTCGTCTGCTCGTCTACCAAACTGGCTTTCCCATGACAATGACTGATATGGGGTTCTCGGGTTAATATGGGGTAAGATAAGAAACACTGCCAAATAATAACCTATAATTTAAATTCAGGGTGCTTGGCTCTCATTTTGTGGATTTCTTTGTAACAGTTAGGGTAGAACAATTTTCTCATTTTTTTTAATGATAATGATTTTGTGTTTCAGGTTGAGCTGGCGCTGTGGGATACAGCTGGACAGGAGGACTATGACAGACTCAGGCCGTTGTCGTATCCAGATACAGATGTCATCCTTATGTGTTTTTCCATCGACAGCCCCGACAGTTTAGAGAATATTCCAGAGAAGTGGACACCGGAAGTCCGCCATTTTTGCCCCAATGTCCCCATCATCCTTGTCGGGAACAAGAAAGATCTGCGCAACGACGAAAACACCAAACGAGAGCTGATGAAGATGAAGCAGGAGCCGGTGAGACCGGAGGAGGGGCGTGCACAGGCTGAGAAGATCAGTGCTTACGCTTACCTCGAGTGCTCTGCCAAAACCAAGGAGGGAGTGAGGGAAGTCTTCGAAACAGCCACCAGAGCTGCCTTGCAGGTTCGGAAGAAGAAGAAGGGCGGATGTATATTGTTGTGAAAGGGACTACTTTGTTTACTGGACACAATTCTTTGCCATTTCTACATTCTTGGTGCTTCATTGGTCGTCGTGTATTTATGATCTGTTAATGACGATCCAAATGGTTATCTTAATAACGTACTCATCGTTCCACCCCACACGTGATCACTGACGTCATAGACATGTAGATCGCCTCCAGCACCAGAAACCATGGTCAATCTTTGCCTGCAACTCTGCCGATAAGCTAGACGCCTTAAACACCCAATATATTTTGCTAATGTGCCCCTTTATTATGATATCTCAAGTTGTAGATTTGTTACTTGAGGACATGAAACTAGTCCCCCTACAGCATGTACTTTTCAATCTTGGGAAATCATTCCACTTAGGCATGGTACACTATAAACTTTCATGTATGTATAGAGAGAACTGGTATTACCCAAAAGTATACTCGGATTATGATTGGAAATGTATTATTGCATGATGATCAAGTATACAACAAGGTGTGGTGGTAACGCGCGTTCTGGGTCTGTAGTACTAGCGAAGAGGAAAGGTAAGCCTGCATATTGAATGACTATGATTTCAAAGTGGGCGTTACCCGGAAGTACACACGTTCATTGTAAATATGAAAAGTCGTATTGAGGAAAACTTCGTACTTGTTTGTATGGTGCGTTTTAGTGTTGGTTGTAAAGAAACTACGCACTTCGACCCCATGCAATCTCTATGCACTGGGTTTTGAAACAACTGGCTGTACAGGACAGTGTAGGCCTTTATGACTGCTGTCATGCTGTTTTCGACCAAATCGCACGTTAGACATGCATCGTTTATGTTTACAGAATAGTTTGAAATTACTCCAAATACTTTTAAAGGAATTTATTTGTTGACAGGAAAGTCTTACATAATTTGTGCAACTTTGGAAATTTTATGTTTTAGCTTTTGGATGTAGGGACGTCTTTCTCTGATACATATATTGTAAACCGACAGTCAACCTTTTGACATAGAGACAGGCAGTGGAACACGTAAGGAAGGGAATTCGGTCTTACTTCGGCCAAGTTTTGTCCATAGCAATTATATCCAGTTTTATGTGTACTGTTTGCGTCGCGACTTAGCATTTTAAGCTTTACTGTTGGAGGTGTGTCAGTCAGAAAAGTGCACCCCTCATTTACGAGGGCCCAAGGGTAGATGCATTACTCATTCTACAGCCTAGTGTTCACAGCTTTTTTATCGAAACTTCAAGAGTATAGGGATATCTCTCGAATATCACCTGTCCACAGTGAAAACAGGAATTCGCTGTTTCGATGGATTTGTATCCAGTGCAAATACACCTGCTCCGTAACGGTGGTGGTCGGTCACATTAAACACTTTCGTAAGCAATAAGACAGTTAGCTTTAATTTCTGTGTTCACCATCGAACTTAATCATCCCTTTGGTTCTAGTTATTACTGTGTAAACAGTTATGTTATTGGCCTCTAGCTACTTGTGTGTGTCGTTTGCAAGTGAGTTGACCGAAAGTCACATATGCAGGTCTGACTTCAGCAGATGAAACCCACTTTTTGTGTGCGTATAGACATTAGATCGATTGTCCAAAACGCCAGGTTCTTTTGTAAAGCTCTGCACATGTGAATGTATCAACCATTTTTGTGACACTCTAGTTTTTCTTTGTAATTTCTTTTTGCTTTATGTCCAGTGTACGAACAGCGCCGTCTGTTTACCCATACACAAGAGCATATCTGGGACTCAAGGATTTCCCCTCATTTTTCGGAATTTCCTGACATATTTTTGGGGTCTCGTTTTAATTTTGTTACTTGCTATGATGTCTGTATGTCTCTGCTTGTGGTGTAACCAATTTATACATTTCAAACAAAACAGGACAAATTGTATCTTATTTTTACTGAATTAACTATTTGGAACCATGACAAAACATTAGTTTGTAAACATCTGGATGCGTTTTGTTTGGAATGTGATTGTACATATTATGTAGGAGTGATCGTTCGACAGTCTCCGTAACCCGTACGTTTGCTTTTCTCCGTTCTATCATGGGTGTGGGCTCTTGTATCGATACTACTATCTCTGCTGTCTGCGGCTGTCTGTCTTGGCATCTCGCCATACACGTCTACCCGTTCTTCCACCTTTGTATTGTAATAATAAAGTAATTTAAGTACGTTTCCAGTTTTGTGGTTGTTGTTGAATCTTCCCATTATATCATATCGTGCAAAAAGTGGCAATTCGCCGTGCAGAGTTGTCTTCCTTAGGTTTCTGACACTATGGACACTATGACCGCGGGTTCGAATCCCTTATTCGCACTGTTTGTTTCTATGTATGTCAGCACCGTACTCGTGCTCATGGGTGTTACTTGGACTTTCCTCCCACATTAAGCTGACACGCCGTCATGTTACTGAAATATTGTTCAAAACGACGTTAAACCAAACTCGTCCACATCGGGTGGTCAGGCTCAGCGACCTGGTTGATGCATGTCATCGTATCCCAATTGCGTTGATCGTTGCACATGTCAATAAATGGATTGTCTGGTACAGACGCTGCCATTTAGCTGGGAATATTGCATAGTGCGGCGTTGAACAACTGAGACCCGCATCACTTCGGGGTTTACTCGCATATCAAGTTGACACGAGGTAATATAGCTGAAATACAGTTCCTTGTCGTTTGTAAGGTCCATTTGATTCAATATATTACAAGTTATGACACTATAGGTACGTTTATCATATATATATTACTGATATCAGCTCAACCAGCATATGCGGCAAACCTGTTACTGTAATCCCTATGACAACGCCACTGTGTGAACACTCATCATTGGTGGTAAATATCCAGCAACCGAAGGACCTTTCGACAAGTGCGTACACCGTACGCCTTTGGTTTCAAAACCTTCGTCTTCGGTTAATTAATCTCATTAAAATCAGATCTTAGTTCTCGCTATCGCTAAACAAAGACCCGAGGACATCCCATTAGGGGTCACGTCAGAACCGACCAATCAGAGCATCATGAAAGTGACAGTCGGAATGTGATTTCGAATCTAAAACTTCCAACGCGGGGTATTCCGAACTGTAGTTACTGGCTTAACGACTGAATTCATACAATCTAGACCCACTATAAGCCATTCCAGAATGTTCTTTTGTTCAGGTTTCAATTTTTTAGAATTTGTCAAAATATGTTTCGAAGCTAGTCGCGAATTTGAAATTAGTGCCGTAAAGCACGAGAAAGCTGCCTTCTGATTGGCTAATGTCGACTTGTCAGTCATTCCATTGATCAGTCAAAGTTCGCGCAAGGTCTGCCAGACGTGACCCGTAATGGGGTGTTCTCAGATCTTTGTTTAGCGGTAGCGAGAACTAAGATCTGATTTTACAGTGGAATGTCCACCGTCTATGTTTTCATTCCATTTCAACACACTCATTTGTCCTGCGCTTGTATTTTCTCAAGATGACACATTTAGTATAGGTTTGTAACACAACTTGATGCAAAGTTGACGGTCTTTTGTACTCGTGTTTTGTTATATAAACAAAATGTCCGTGGACAGTCGTGGTGTCAGTCATTGTTGAAACTAAGATACCTCCGCCTTGCGGACTATGTGTGGTCAGGATGGGCCCACTTAATTAATAAACATGCCTTAACCTTCAGAAGATTAATTCGAAAATCACTGTTTTCCCACTCAGGATTCGTCTGCAACCATTGGCTGAACATATCACAATAATCACCTGGGATGTGATTCTTTGAATTAGCTATTTATTGTGGTATAGGTGTGAATGCAATTCCCGCTAGGACGTGTACAGCGGGTGAAACTGAGTGTAACAGTAGGCTATTTTGTAAAATTAAACGGGCGTACACATTAAATCTTTAACTGACAAGAGGGTATTTGAGTTACGTAATGATAATTTGTTCTACACAATTCTCGAAAGAATTTTTTTTTACCACAAAATATCGATCTATCAATAGTTTGTGAAAAATTAAATGTAATGTCCAGCTTCTCCTTTCAAATATATATAACTTGTATTTTGAGTGACCGAAAATATGCTCTTACAAAAGTCCTGTGCAAAGTTTCTCGGTGACTTAAACATCTCGAACAAACGGTGATGCGCATGTAAAATATACTCTTTGTTTTGAATAGAGGTTGATGCGCTGTGTGTGTGAGTGGGTGGGTGTGCGTGTTAAAGCAGTGTGGTTGATGCGATGTGTGTGCCTGAAAGCAGTGTGGTTGATGCGCTGTGTGTGTCTGAAAGCAGTGTGGCTAATGGGTGTGTGTGTATGTCTCGAGGCAGTGTGGTTGGGACTATGCAGAGTTGCGTCCCTTGGATCAACCATTATGCGATGGCCATGGGTTGAACTGTCTGTTGTTACCCTGCCTGTAGTCTGTCTTACAGACCCTGATACAAATATATATCAAATACAGCCCATGCAAGTCTATAATGTTTGGCAAGTCTAGATCACTGCAGTATCAGGGTCTGTACAAATCTGCTGAATTCACATGCCAGTGATGGGTGATAGGATCATTTACACGTGTCGTAAAATTCCAAGAAATAATAGCTCTGCAGATTTGTTTAGTCTCTGAAAATGAAGAGAGTCTCAAGGGCGAACACACACACACACACACACACACACACACACACACACACACACAAATTAAAGTAGAAGATAACCTACACAATCTTCAAATACGTGTATACAATTGTTTATTACTAAAATTGATTCTAAGACATTTTGTAAAATCCACCGAACCATTGCATTACACATTCTGAAAATAGCGTGGTTTGACGTGCACTGAAAGACTATTTACTGTAAGAAAATATAATTCCTCCAAGGTAAGGCATCGAGACAGACTATGGATTTCGCTCTTCCCTTTTCAATACAAAAATTGTGTCCATCATGTGTATCATAATAAGATAATAATCACCAATAATAATTTGTTCTAACAACGATGGATAACAACTCCAATGACAGTGTCGTCTTCGGTCAAGCTCCTCCTCAGCGCTCGCCCACTATGTAAGGGCACGAAGCTGAAACTCGGCACTGCGCAAGGTTCAGACGGAGCCCAGTTCAATCTATCGTCGGCAGCTTTGTGCACCCTGGGTCATTATAACAGGCATTCAAGTCGTTCTGAAAGTTGATGAGTAGGCGATACCTGTCCTCCCCGTACACAGCCAGACACTCCTCCTGGGGGATGATGCGATCAAACAGGCAGTCGCCTTCATCGTTCAGGATGGAGTAGCACTCCCGGGGGTAAAACCCTCGAGGATCGACTGAAAGTGTAGCAAGAAATGAGGTATCAGCAAAATGTTTGATAGCAAATTTAAGGAGACCAGGTACTCGTAGTCATGGAAATAGCTATGACATATTTGACTTTATTATATATAGCTAGTAAACATATCCAACAGTTATATAATAAATACAACCCTTTGTTTAAACACCGCCCCCTCCCCCCCCCCCCTAAAAGAACAGTTTCTAAACGAAAAAGAATATTCCTTCTAAAACGCTGATACACGTTGTCAGCAGGACTTTAAGGTTGATAATTATAAAGTCAATGTTGTTCTCCCAGGTTTGACAAAATATCACAAAAATGCTATATATTTCTAAGGAGGTTGAATATTTGCAATTTTCATTTGTATACAAAATGCCTGTAAATAAAAACAATGAAGTTGATGACTAACCTTTGCCCACCTCGCGGCAGAGATCTGAACCAGGTGTTCCTGTAATGATACAAATAACTTTGATGTTGACGCCGCACTGATCCATGGCCCATCTGTATCACGGTTCCATGGAAATAATCGAATCTGGACCAGAAAATCCAGTGATTGATATTATGATTATGTCGCCAATTAGTTGTTTCTTTTTTGACCCGTGAAGATCCGGGATAGAATAGGTCTTCAGCAACCCGTGCTTGCCGTCAAAGGCAACTATGCTTGTCGTATATGAGGCGCCTAACGGGATCGGGTGGTCAGGCTCGCATGTCATCGTATCCCAATTACGTTGATCGATGATCATGATGACAATCACTTAATTGTCTGGTCCAGACTCGATTATTTACTGACCGCCGTCAAATGTCTGACAAACAACAAACCAACAAACAACGTTGTTTCTTTTGTTACATCTACCACGCATAACAGCTGTAAGAAAATATGGGTGCTGTGAGGTTTTAGAAATGGAACGTGTACATTTAATATTTTGTAAACACATGTGTATTCTCAACGTACATAAAAGAACATGTACTGCTGCAACTAATGGTAAGTTGGCTGATATTCTGTGTATATATCTAGTTGTGTCCGAGAGATACAGTGCTGGTTCAAGCTGCAATATATTTCCCTACATTACAACGTGTTAAAACTTGGGCCATCTACCCGGGGTAAGGGAGTTAACTGACTATAAAAGTTTTGGAAACAGGACTGTTATAGTCAGTTAACTCCCTTGTATCAGGTAGATAAACTTTGGCCCACTGAGTAAACCAACTGGTGCTTAGCTATGTATATGGCTATGTGTGGATTGACCCGCTCTCTATAAATCCAAGTGTACTCTGTAATGTATTAAAGCTACAAATATTGTTGGAGAGACATGGTTCAGCGAAGTAGCATGTATAAGTATATTGTTATGAGGAAAACTCAAGCCTTATTTCATGTATGAAACATTGTTTGGATCTACACACCATAAAGATAGGAGCGAGTGAGTGAGTGAGTATGGTTTTACCCCGCTTTTAGCAATATTCCAGCAATATCACGGCGGGGGACACCGAAAATGGGCTTCACACATGGTACCCATGTCGGGAATCGAACCCGGGTCTTCGGCGTGACGAGCGAACGCTTTAACCACTGGGCTACCCGACCGCCCCCATAAAGATAGGAAATATATTCAACGCAATATAGAAACAGGTCGCTTTGAAGAAATATATACTACTCAAAGTTTGCTAAGAATCACTACTTTAAAAGGTAATAGGTAAAATTGTGTGAATCTATTGAAATAGCCAAAGACAGTATTGCGCGAGGACATTATTAATGAACACAATTCCGTCGTCATGTGCCACACAATGCCAACAAACAACATATGACCAATAATCAGTAAGACTACCCGTCAAAACGAGAGTATCTGACCAAAACTGAATCGTAAAAAAAATCACTAAAACAAGTTCATTGTCCGCAAAAAATAGATCTCAGTAACCCGTACGTGATCCATCTGGTCCTGTCGTCTCATACTCTCAATAAGTGTCTGGATGGTTGCCAAGTGATGATTGGAACACTCTTCAGTAAGAACATTGCTGTTCCTGTAGTGTTGCCGGAAGGACAGGGCGTCGCGAGAGTTCGATCTGTACCCATGTCTCTGGGTAGCTGATCCGAACGTCTTGTATCGCTTCCATGCCCTGTTGATCACACTTTGGCTGACACCAAAGACATTTGCAACGTGACGTTGTGTTGACGTGTCTTTGACGCTGAGGGGGCATACGTTCATTCAGTTGTTGCAATCCCCAGTAGCAAATGTGGTTGTGCTCTCTGATAATCATGTGCCACGACACTGTCACGATACACAGGTTTTCAAGCACCTCGTGCATATCGTGCCCATGACTGAATGCCTCTGTCCGTTCATCATGCTGTCCTATAGAGTTTACCCAATCATTGTGCACCGGGATAATTAATTGTTTTTTTGTTGGATGATTTTTTTATATAATCAAAACTTCATCCTTAAGAAACTTTGAGTTGTATATTATGATGATTAGAATAACAAGTCAACGAAAAGAAACAGGTTGCTTTGACAATCTTAACAATGAACTATGATTCTGTGATTATTGTGAAAAAAATGTTTTTTTATATTGAAGATGTGTTCCACGTTTTGCTTGTGTGCCCGAAGTATACTAGCGGATGAAAGAAACGATGCTTCATATAAAGTTCAATATAAATACATTTATTCTGAAATTAAATAATCCAACTTTCAAAACATTTTAATGAAGACGTCTACTCGACTTTGAGGTCGTGATTCGAATTTAACAGGAGTATGTTGATGCACGGTGCACAATGTAGATGTTTGCGTGTTTGTTGGGAGCATGATACTAATACACGTGGTTTTTGAAAAAAATGCGAGCAGCACACAATGATTGTTTAGCTATCTGATCATCATAAAAACAATTTTGTTCAACCATAAGTTACACTGATCTTTCCTCTGACGACCGATCAAAACAAAACTGTAATGAATTTGTCGAAAAATATAAAATATTCCAAAAGCATTGTATAAAGATGAAGTTGTCCAACCTCGTACTGTGTCAGCATTTGACGTACATGTATGTATATGTACATATATTGTTTGTACTGAGACAAGGGACCTAGCGTCTAAGAATACACTGAATACAATCTGTCTGTCTATCTTTTCAGTAACTTCCACATTCTTTCTCTCTCGCCAGTGTAATTGAACTATTCCTATAGTCTTGCGTCCTTCGAATCACACTCGAGCTATGGTTGGGAATCAGTCCAGGGTATTTAGCATGAGAGAAAGGTAATATAATACCCGGGATAACCGAGGATGAATACCTCGAAGCTCATTGTTATTTGAACGGCAGATTAACAATCTCAATTACATATCACGTTTGTAACCTTGAAATTTGGAACATGAGAACTGTTTGTACGTGTTGAATTTTACGCATGCCGGCATGTACCATCAATAATATAACAATGTTAGGTAGGTTATTGATTTTCTTAAAATAAATGCAATCCTTTTTTCTGGATATCTAGACTGCCAGTGATAATATAACTTTTAGAAGTTGTTACCTACCCTGGGAGACGGTCAGGAACATTGCTGCAATCTGAAATATAGTGTGAAAGTGTTTGATAAAGGAAAAAAAAAGCATTTCCAAAGAGAAATAGCTGCAAGCAGACAAGCGATTGATATCAAGCAACGCCCCAAGCCACGTTGTGACAACCAGATCCTCATTTCTGTCGGTTCTTTGGCTACACGAGAGTTAGCAAAAATAAAATAAAGAAATTGTACTGTTGTATAAATTAAATGAATACTGGATTAATACTCTTTTTAATGTAGGATCGCGTTAACACCCCTCGTCAGTTCATTGGCATTATTGACGTAACTGCTTTCTTCAATTTCATTAAAATCAGATCTATTTCTCCCATGCGATTCCGCTCTGTGTGACGATTTGAGGACATCTCTCTGGGAGGTCGCATGAGGTGACCCCTCAGCGTACTTTCATCCCCAAACTAAATGAACGATGCGTGGATTCTAAAGCTAATCAGATGTAAGCTTTCTGAAACGATTCAGTTTCATTGTTTACCGATACGATCCGGAAATTTCCGTATTTAGCAAACGAAAACCTCCCAAGAACACACTATACCCTTGATAGTAAACCGCTTTCAATGTTGATATCATGGCGATCAGACAGGGTGTATATTATTAAATACCCACAATATATTAGCTATATATTTTTTGGCATTCGAAACTCACTGATTATATTCGTTTTTGATATAGCAAAATCAGTAATCCTTGTCTGAATGCTTCGCTCACACGTACCCAGAATTAGAAGCTCTGGGTGGCTGGTTAGAAAGTTCCACTGTAGTGTGCTATCGGAGACACAATCTGAATGTTTAACCGCTCCAACCGAGGGTTCGAACTCAGAATATTTTTCATTGTTAAGCCAATGGCATTGTGCGGGAGCGGATGAATATGCATGATTAACTACTCATGTATGTAAATACTTGATGTCCGTTTTAGTTTCTTCTGTCAGCTGGCTCAGGTAAACTTAATGTTAAATGCATAAACAAGAAAGATATGTGTACTCACCCGGAGTGAGGTATAATTATTCATACTTTTAGCAATATTCAAGCAATATCATGCCGGGGGACACCAGAAGTGGGCTTCACACATTGTGACGAGCAAACGCTTCAACCACTCGGCTACCCCACCGCCCCGCACACCTACGTAGGTGTAGACGTTAGCGAAACGCCCTAAGGCTGTATCGACCGATATCCGTCGAAAATGTTAGGCAGATCTATTATGTACATAGTAGATTATCCCCATGGGTTAGAATTTGTCCCCAGCAACCTATGCTGGTCGTAAGAGACCACTAAATGGATCGGGTGGTCAGACTAGGTGACAAGGATCGTTTCTCAATCTATTTATCAAAGTTTTGTCTGGTCCAGATCGACTATTTAAAGGCCGCCTCATTTTGCTGCAGTATTGCTGAGTGCGGCGTTAAACAACAACAAACAAACAATATACAGTAAACTACGGTTATAACTAACTCAAAGGGACCTTTAATTTTAGTTCATTATAACCGTAGTTCGTTATAAGCATATATACAGCATAACTACAGCAAATAGTCAGGACAAAAAAGTAAGTTCGTTATATCCGTCAGTTCGTTATAAGCGTGTTCGTTATAACGTAGTTTACTGTACGCTATAAAGATAGCCGCAATAAACTTATAAAGTTGTCTCCCATGCAGTCCTTCAGGTAGCAAAGCATTTGCGCACCTGTATATACCAGATATGCCCATGCTTAATTAAGTTATGCCCTTGATCCATTCGTCACCATTCGCCCCTTTCCGTACCCTGCAAGAAGACTCGTCCCCCTATCGATGAAGGGGCGGTCGGGTAGCCTAGTGGTTAAAGCGTTCGCTCGTCACGCCGAAGACCCGGGTTCGATTCCCGACATGGGTACAATGTGTGAAGCCCATTTCTGGTGTCCCCCGCCGTGATATTGCTGGAATATTGCTAAAAGCGGCGTAAAACCATACTCACTCACTCACCCTATCGATGAATGTTATGTGTGAAAATACGACAAACCAATCAGAATGCGCGCATGATTTCAAGTTCTTCGTCAAAGAATCCCTCAGAAATAATTTTTGATTTTACATATGTCTTGCATCTAAAAATTTACCCAAGACACAGTTACATGTGTTCTCTCATACTGTATAATTCCGCATGTCTATGCATATTTAAATTGCATCTGAAATATATAAATTATAATATATGGGGAAATATATGTTAACTATTACGCAACGAGTTGACAATTGTTTTGGGTATGCCCGTTTGCGCTAAGACGGAACCCGGTCGCAAAAATGGCCATGAGAGGGGCACGAGTCGCTATTCGGCTTGTCCCGGAATAACACCATTTGGTCACGAATGGCCCTTGATCGTCTGTTTGAAATGCATGTTCTACTGAAATCTGAAGTCGACCTACTCACCATGACGTATGCTGCTGTCGTTGCGTCCATGGCGCGATGAGGGTGTAGTCTCGGTCGTTCTGAGGCAGCTGACTGACGAACAATCCCGCCCTTGTCTTCTTTGTACATCGAACAAGCAATTATAGTAACTTGTTAATTGTCTTTGTTGTCAGAGATCGTTGTGATTAGCTGTAATAATTACACGAGTAATAAACTCTGGTCACTTTAGGGAATGTCAGACTATTATCAATAATAATTATTGATAATAATAATTTTCTACCACTTTGACAGCTAGATTACGATTAGCGTCACATGAGAGTCGCAGGCTATAAGTGTTTTCTACTTTCAATCTCCTTTTCTTTGTTTCATTAAGTGTGGGAGTGAGTATGGTTTTAGCATTATTCCAGCTTTATCATGAGGTGAAATTGGGTTTAACGTCGCGTCCAAGATTATTGCACTTATATAGCGACGTGCATGCACGTATGTGTGTGTGTGGCTGCTTGTACTAGTCCGGACTGATGCCGATTTATAGTGCTAGCACACTGAGATACCATGCCGCAGTTAAACATGAATACCCCACTCAGACACAGTATACTGACTCCGAGCCGACCAGTCCTTGTTTTAGCCCCTCAATGCCGAGCGCCAGACAGGGTAACAACAAGTACCATCTTTTAACGTCTTTTTGGTATGACGCGACCGGGGATCGAACCCCGGACCTTCCGCTCTCCGGGCGGACGCTCTACCACTTGACCACGGAGGCGGGCCAGCTATATCATGGGGGGCGGGGGATACATTGTACCCGTGTAGGGAATCGAACCCGGTTCTTTCGCGTAACGAACGAACGCTTTAACCACTGGGCTACTACACCGCCCCTTTGTTGTATTTACTGCATCAGAATAACTAAGATCTTATTAACCTGTATTTAGGAGTAAGTCATCTTCCTCAACATCTGATATATAATCTGATTTAGTAATTTTAAGCTGTCAGTTGAGACAGACAGGTATGGAATATAATCACAATGACTGGTTGAATGGTTTGTTGTTTAACGCCGCACTCAGCAATATTCCAGCTATATGACGGAGGTCCGTAAATAATCAAGTCTGGACCAGACAATCCAGTGATTAATATCATGAGCATCGATCCACGCAATTAGGATACAATGACATGCATCAACCAAGTCAGAGAGCCTGACCACCCAATCCTGTTAGTCGCCTCTTACGACAAGCATAGTTGCCTTTTAGGGCAAACATGGGTTGCTGAAGACCTATTCTACCCCGGATCTTTACTGGTCTAATTACAATGAAACTATTTCAGTAAGTTATGAACGACTTAAGAGGCGACTAACGGGATCGGGTGGTCAGGCTCGTATACTTGATTGATGCATGTCATTGTATCCCAATTTTGTGGATCGATGCTAACGATGTCAGCCACTGGACTGTATGGCCCAGACTCGATTATATACAGACCGCCGTCATATAGCAGCAATATTGCAGAGTGCGGCGTTAAACAACAAATAAACAAACAACATTAACATGGCACATATTATTCATGTGCTGAATACATGTGCTCGCGTTGGTCCAATATGACATAAATATTAGCCCCGGGATGCATTTCATACCTCGAAGCGCCAAAGAGTGAGATGCCAAAGGAAAAGGGAACATATTTCACGTGCATCGCACGGTCTTTTCACAGTTGAACATAGAGTTCTTGAATATCTTTTCAATACGGTCATCAAAACAATGTTGTTTTAACATTTTAGGTGATTGGATTCTTTTAATGTTGGCCATCGTTAAAATAGGTCAGAGCACTCGGAACAAGGTGCTCAATGTTGAAATGGTTACAAAGTACTGTCGGCGGGCCAGGCCCTCGTGCTGTCTGTTAAACCTACATAGCACGTTGTCTTTCCGGTAGCGAATTTATACCATGTTTTGGCGGATGACCGCATCACAGCGACAGAAAATGTTCTTTCTCAAACACTTTCAAATACAGATTTAAGTTGCGAAACACCGCATTGTCGGTTCTAAATTATTTTAGCAGGCGTGGCAGTATATTCGACAGTAAACTGACGACAATGTAGACACAATTGCTTGACAACGGATCGAGGAGCTATACCGAAATGTCGCCTTTACAGTAAACAAAGAACTTGTTATCCATAAATTGTGTCTACTTTGGCTTGCTTGACAACGGATCGAGGAGCAATACCGAAACGTCGCCTTTACAGTAAATGAAAAACTTGTTATCGATAAATTGTGTCTACTTTGGCTTGCTTGACAACGGTATGAGGAGCTATACCGAAACGTCGCCTTTACAGTAAATGAAGAAGTTGTTATCCATAAATTGTGTCTACTTTGGCTTGCTTGACAACGGATTAAGGAGCTATACCGAAACGTCACCTTTACAGTAAATGAAGAACTTGTTATCTATAAATTGTGTCTACTTTGGCTTGCATGACAACGGATCGAGGAGCTATACCGAAACGTCGCCTTTACAGTAAATAAAGAAGTTGTTATCCATAAATTGTCTACTTTGTCATCCGACAAATTCTGAGTAATGCCGATCAAACAATTTATAAAACTGACGAACAAGGTGGATGTCAGCAGCAGATGACATTCACACGGAGACAGCTAACTGCAGCGGCCTGTAATTGCACATAACTGTCTGGGGCCACGTTAAACCATCCCCCGACACAATCAGCAGGAGGATGGATGACTCACTGATGGAAGGCTGCGCCATGCCGGTAACGTGTACTATCTAACGGTCGCAGTTCAAGAAAACGAAGAATTGCCAAATTAGGCTTTCATACATTTTGACTGATACGAGTCCCGTTAGTTTTGACTAGTGAAAGTTAAACGTTCAACGATTACGGATATACACAACACTGGAGGGGGCACGGGTGGCCCAGTCGTCTAAGGCGCCACGGTTCGCTGTGCAGAGTTGCGTCCCTTGGCCACGCCAGAAACCTATGATTGTGGGTTCGAATCCCGGTTCGCCCCGATTATGTTTCTAGCTTTGTCAGCACCATACCCGTGCTCGCGGGTTTCACCGAAGTGGTAACCGTCTGAGACCTGCATAACTTCGGGCTTTCCTCCCACATTAAGCTGACACGCCGTGATATAACTGGAATACTGTTAAAAGCGGCGTTAAACCCAACTCACTCACTCACTCACTCACTCACAACACTGGATGGAGTCAAACGCCTGTTGCGTCTTCTCCGCTGTGTCGGTTTTAAAACTATGTAGTCAAGAACAAGATTAATTTCGTAGTCAAAGATTCAGATGGAGGTTTTGTAAAATTGTAACCCGGTTGTTCTTTTCGAAACTCACACACATACACACACAACGCATCAACACTGCCTTATGCACACACACACACACACACACACACACACACACACACACACACACACACACACACACACACACACACACAATAAAAAACCCCATTGCCTTCAGACACACACACACTCACAACCACCAACCCACCCACACACCATCACCCATAGAAACAAAAGGCGTACGCATGAGAGATCGTTTGACGGCTTTTAACAACCAGTAATTATGAGTCACATTGTCGCGTTGTAATCTTGATTGCGTAATAATCAACTTGATCAATGTTATTGTGGCGCCACAATGACTGGTTTGGGAGTTGTTGAACACCGCACAGCAACAGTCCAGGTTTACGACGGGTCGAGCTGACAATCCAGCGATTGATATAGTTAGCAACGATCCACGCCATCGGGGTACGATGTCACGCAAACCAACCAATCACCAAAAGTGACCATTGATCCATTTGACGCCTATTGCGACCGACTCTGAACTTGAATCATCGTCTCCTAGGTGCTTTCACATATGCCGCTTCAGCTCATACCAATAAAACGTTTGTTTGATTATTATAAATGTATCTACAGTGTAATATCTGGTTATATCTTGAATCGTTTGGACTGAAGATTTGCTGGTATAGGCCAGAGACAGAAAGGCCGCTTTGAACCGTACTCCAGTTATATCACGTCGTGTGGGAGGAAAGCCCGAAGTGATTCGGGTCTTAAGCGAGTCTGCAGTTCGAACCGGCTTGGCAGCTACCAGGCAAGCAACAATGCGAATTGCGGAGCAGCTAGATACTAGAGTGAGTGACTGTTTGCTTGTTGTTTAACGCCAAACTCAGCTATATTCCAGCTATATGACGGCGGTTTGCAAATAACCGAGTCTGGACCAGACAATCCAGTGACTGACATGTGCATCGATCCACGCAATTGGGATACAATGACATGCATCAACCTAGAAGATGAAACGGGGCGAAACAGATTCGAACCCATGATCATAGGTTTCCGCCAAGCGAATTGCCTCTCTTCACCACAGTACTGGCGGGATTATTAAGCAAATAAATAGAGGCGACAACATTCATTCCATAATCATAAGACATCGCTGCTAAAAGCAGAATCGATTGTACGATTCCGACTGTACCATGAACCTGTGTTTATGAATCAGTATCCAATGGTCACGTGTCCAGGTGCCCCACTGCTGTCACCTGTTACTAACACATGCAAAGGCAAGTCAATTGTTCACCGGAGAAACACGGGAACTTGTACAACCTGGTACAAGTCAAAATAGGGAATTGCATTGGACATCAATTTTGTCACTGATGCGTCAAATTTGGAAATGTCCTCGAAAAACCTTTTGGACCGCTTTACTAAGACCTTGAGCGAGACGCTCTTTGGAGTCTTGGCATAAACAGTATGCTCGATTGTACCACGAAGGGCTGTAGTTGCAGAAATATTGCTCTGCACAAAGGAAAAGTTGAAATCCTTTCTCTTGTCATTTAGTCTGCAAATGTCAACCATACAACTCTTTGAAAGCTTTACCGATGCCTTGAATGTTGTGATCCTGATCAAACACCTTTTGAGCAAGAGTCGTATGACAAACACAAAAGTAGCATAACAACCACAAAACTGGAAACGTACTTAAATAACTTTATTATTACAATACAAAGGTGGAAGAACGGGTAGACGTGTATGACGAGATGCCAAGACAGACAGCCGCAGACAGCAGAGATAGTAGTATCGATACAAGAGCCCATACCCATGATAGAACGGAGAAAAGCAAACGTGCGGGTTACGGAGACTGTCGAACGATCACTCCTACATAATATGTACAATCACATTCCAAACAAAACGCATCCAGATGTTTACAAACTAATGTTTTGTCATGGTTCCAAATAGTTAATTCAGTAAAAATAAGATACAATTTGTCCTGTTTTGTTTGAAATGTATGAATTGGTCACACCACAAGCAGACATAAAACATCATTTAGCATGTAACACAATTAGACGCCCTCCAAATAAGTAAAGAAATTACGAAAAATGGGGAAAAATCTCTGTGTTGATCTCGAACCCGAATACTAGTATTGTGCCATAGAGACTTGGGAATATCTACTCTATCGTAGTTGTTAGAGAAGTCTAGGAACTGGGTACGGGCGAATCACGTTAAGAGAAATATTTTTTGGCATATTTTAGGCAACAACTTATTTACCAACGTTTGCGAGCTTGCTTCCTAATTAAAACATAGGATGGGTGAGGTGTAACTCTAGACACAAACAGGCAGACAAGGAAACAGACAGACAGAAGATTTGAGTCTCATCCCACTTACATATAACAAATGTGTACATCCTATGTAAAACCGACAACTTGGACAACGGACAACTCCATACGGAGTCGTAGGAGACTAAGATGGATACACACTTAAAAAAACAATTAAAAATAATCTCTATATATCTAAAAAGCAATAAATACACAATATTCGTATGTTTGTTTTACAGAAACGATCATACAGGACTGACTTTCTCTGTTTTATGAAAGTACCGCAGAGTGTGGCCGTTACACTGTACATATCACATGATGCTAAATAAAACAAACCTTTTTAATATTACAGAGATAATTACACTTACTGTATACCTCATGACATGCAATCAGAGTGTCACGTTCCCCATTGTAGTCCGGCCAATATAGAGGGACATTTCGTCTTCCACAGTTTCCGTACAGTTAAACACGTGTATTGGAGCAGTGCCACGCCCGAATTAGTCAGTTCGCATCTGGTGGGATCGTTGGATGGGGCGTGTGACATAATTGTCTGCGGCATATACATTTTTGAAAGTACAATACAACCTGAGTTTATTGCCGCCACAGCGGGAGCTACCAATAGGTTGTGTAATAGTCCGATTCCACTCTTTAATATACACATCTAAATCTAAACGCTTGTACACTGAGACAGACATTAAAACGGTTTTCATGGGAAATAAAACGTTCCAACCCAGGATCTGTTTTTTAATGAATTTTGAAATTCCAGTTTCTTTTCCCCCTTTTCAAACAACGATTGCTCCAAAGAAATATTTTGTGAGAGGTCCGATCTTGGCCTGGATTACATAGACGTTGATACAATCTGACAACACTTTCCTATTGGCAAACAGTAGGCGACATCCAGCCAATGCCACAACTAACAACACTTTTTGGAGCACTAGTTATGGAACAGCGGTAGACATTGAATTAAAATAAGTCAAACTTTAACTGCAAAGAAGCTATCATGTCAAACTGACATACACCTTGTGTGGTTTTGAAATACCGTACTAATACCGTGAAAAGATATAACTGACTGAAGAAAATTCGGCCACCTCTTCTTTAACAGTTATATTCTTTTTACAAACACTAATGTATCAGTAAAACATATATGCATTAATCTAAAGTATAAACATTACTTATGTTTGTTATTGTTATTGTTAAGAAATAAACGACTCGTGGTCGTTGTTTATCGTACAATAAAACACTGCAGGGAGAATAAACCATGAGGGGCGCAGCTAACTCAATAGAATCCGAGGTGGGTATTTTCCGCATATTCTCACAGTCATCACGTCGATGACCTGTACTTTTTCTCCCAATGAAGATAGTCATATCTCCCCGCTTTTGGATGCGATCGTTCGGCGATCACGTTTATCTGCGTTACCCAGCTACATCTGTGGGGAACAACTCACTAGTCACTCCCCTCTAAAAGAAAACGTCGTCCAATACGTCATCAAGTTGAGAGCATATGTCTAGCTAATGTTGGTTCCCCCTCCCTGGCAGACGTGCCTTTCCCATGCAAGTTGTTGCAGTTCCAGAGGTCTAAAGCATGGCGCACTTGCCCCTCCTCGTCTCCTCTTCTGGCAAGGTAGCTCTTGTGGCTGTTTCAAAGACTTCCCTAACCCCTTCCTTGGTCTTGGCGGAGCACTCAAGGTAGGCAAAAGCACCTATCTTCTCTGCCATTGCACGGCCTTCTTCTGTTTTAACTGGTTCTTGTTTCATCTTGGACAGTTCTCTCCTAGTGTTATCATCATTCCTGAGATCCTTTTTGTTGCCTACTAATATGATAGGTACATTAGGAAACTTCACTTCCTGTTTCCACTTCTCTGGAATATTCTCTAAACTGTCGGGGCTGTCGATGGAAAAACACATAAGGATGACATCTGTATCTGGATAAGACAAAGGCCTGAGTCTGTCATAGTCCTCCTGTCCAGCTGTATCCCACAACGCCAGCTCAACCTGAAACACAAAATGATTATCATTGAAAAATGAGAAAATAGTCTTATCCTTGCAAGTAAATACAATGATGATGAAGAAGAGTCTTGTTTAATACTAGCAGATTCTAGATGACTGACAATATTAAATAAACATTAATGTAGAACTGACATTTCAATTACTTGTATGATTTATCCTCTATTCTTACTGAACTTATGTGTGTGAATACAGTAACAGTCTTACAGAAAGTGTTGAAACAGATTAAGGAAGGAACAATAACAGATACAGGTTTTTTCCATGCCGTGCATTTCGGTAGAAACTGATGCAGTTATAAGATACAGAACTAGGCCTCTGCCCTGAAGAGAGATTCAAACATAAGGAAGGGCATAGAAGATTTGCTACAAGATGAAATCCCATACATGACATACATCTACCAACAAAACCCGCTGCAGCAACACACGACACAGGCAGGGAGACACGGGGAGCACTAGTCCCTCCTCAACACAGTGAGTATAACATACTTGTTCATATACATATTATGTCCCTTGAAACATATGTTGTTACATTTAAGCATAATCATTCTAGAATGTCTAATATTTCATTGAAGCAAACAAAATCACCAAAAGTTCACAACCGTATTTTACAATTTCATCATATGCATTTAGCTCATAATGAATTGATTCATATCAAGCAATATCAATGTGACCGTAGTATGTGTTCTCAAAGAATAAAATACATATTGATCAGTTATGGAAAGATAAATATACATTTGTTTTTGTGATTAATAAATTAATGAAGCCAATGCTTTTGCATGTCAAAACTGTGCAAGGTCAACAGTGCAGCAAATATAATTTCAACAGAACACATTTGAAAAAGCAGGATCCTGCCCTTGGATTCTACTGCAATTAAGAGTTTTGTTCAGTTAAAACTACACTTAGGCAATGTGACAATTCATTTAACAATGTTATCCTACTCAAAATGAACAGTCAGCACAAACCTAGATATCGATCACTGAGATACCATGTCTCAGTTAAACAAGAATACCCCACTCAGACACAGTATACTGACTCCGAGCCGACCAGTCCTTTTTTTAGCCCCTTAATGCCGAGCGCCAGACAGGGTAACAACAAGTACCATCTTTTAACGTCTTTTGGTATGACGCGGCCGGGAGTCGAACCCCGGACCTTCAGCTCTCCGGGCGGAGTACTCAAAATGAACAGTCAGCACAAACTTACCTGTTTTCCGTCCACTACAATATCTGCTACATAAGTGTCAAAAACAGTTGGCACATAATCTTCAGGGAACTGATCTTTGCTGAAGACGATGAAAAGACATGTTTTACCACAGGCACCATCCCCAACTATTACTAGCTTTCTTCTTATAGCAGCCATGGCTAGTTACTTCCTGAAAAAACCCCATCACAATGAGTACAAGGAAACAAACATCCCCAATGTCCACGAGTACAAGTAAACAATGATGTTCAGGGAATAATCGAGTATGCACCAGTTGTTCAGGGAAACAACTGATGATACACCAGTAGTTCAAATATTACAATTGTTTGCACATCTGGTTGTACAAACGGTAAGCTTTGTTAACACTACAGTATGTCCAATAAACTTTATTAATCTATCAAAAGGTATAACACATTAATGTACAACTCTCGATATATTTACAAACACAATGCAACAATGATTTAAGTCTAAATTCTATGTCGCCAACGTACCCTTTAATTGAAAAAAATGCTTAATAAAAGTATTATTGCTTTTCTAAATATTACATAACAGATACGTCATCCTTTTAGTCTTCAGTAAATATAATGCATATTGTATATGTCAAATACAAATACTGTATTTTAAAGCTATGGACCCATAATGAATATGTAGTGAAGCAAATTAGCATAAATAGGACAGTGATTATTTTCACGGTACTTTTGCCATTCAAATTATCAAAGGGTAGGCAAGATACTTAACAGATACGTTAGCTAGTATTGACCTTTTTCACACTTCGCTACTTCCGGTTTGAAAGCGTGGCTTGGAGAGCAGAAGGTGAAGGCTGGATAGCACATGAAACACATGGAGATGTCAACAAGGCACGCAATCGGGACAAACTGTGACAATATTTAACCATCCCGGTACATTTATCGTAAGTATTGAACATTATTCTTATTGACAAACTATTCTACTGTTATCTGGTCTCCTTACCGACATAAATTTGAATCTGGCCGTTCTGTTGTGATTTCAATTCAAAATATCCATGACCACCTGGTAACTCCCAGTGCAGTTTATGGTAGCTGAACAGACTTAATACAAATGCTACTGAAATCTTGTAAAGAATAATTCATTGTTTACACACCATTAAGCAAAACTATTTATTGTGAGTTTAAATAACTTTGCAGGTTGTATTTGAAGTCGAAATATTGACCTTTTGACCACATCTAGATATATGTCAGAAACTAACTAAATTGATATGTTGATATAATGTATCAAATTGTAACCTACTGAGAATTTACAATCGTAACAAATCAAAAGTTTGCATCAGTTGCGTATTTGATGTAAATTGTAATGGACTCAAATGCATTCCAATAAAATATTAGACCTCTGGATCTACTCGTGCTGTTGTGATTGTGAACAGTTGTTATTTTGATTGTCAATGTTGACAGATTAGGTGTAATATTTCAACTGAATTATTACATAAAGGGTGTGTAAATATTTAAAGTAAAGTACAGTTTGGTCTGCAAATTTGGTAACAATTAATATTTCTACCAAAATGATATTTACTTTACTGTACCAATTTAATCATGTAATGAAATGAACAAAAACCCAACTAATTAATGTCCAGTAAATGTTCAATCTACATTTGATCTTTATATAATTTACAGAAACAGATAACTCTTTAACAGTTTGTATTCAAATATTTCAAATGCATAAATTGATATTGACATTACTAAAAACTTAAAGTATAAAAAGATAATTTTTAATTCCCATGTGTATTGCAATCATTAATTGTGAAACCCATCTGGTTTTATGTCCACGAACATGTTTTGAAACTTTCAAAACAAAAAGATTTCTTTTGTGCAAGCAATTGCCATGTATTATTGATTATTAATCATATCAATTTATATATAAGAATATAGTAGTGCTGACTGTGTCATTTTGCAATAATTATATTGTTATGATGTAATATTTTACTATTGTACTTTAGAACTTTAGTTTATTTCAATCAAGTCAAGTGGTGTGATCATTTTGATTTTTTTGTATAATTCAAACAAAACGAGAAAAATAAAAAGTATAAATACATAGAAGAAATTTGTTTTCCTTGTCAAATAACGATGCTCCTTGTATGCATGCTCCTTGTGAAAATTCATTCCATTTCTTCTTCGAATGTACCTTATATGATGATTTTAGGGAGACATTACTGACAGCTATCGATAATCTTGGAGGACAAAAAACTCTACATAGTATTCTTTTTGGTGATCCAAACTTAGATGTTTTCCTGAAAACAAAAATATTCTTGTCTGTACACAAATTTATAGAAACGACTAACAGATTCAGTAGCTAGCATATTATTGTTTCTAAATCTATATTCAACACTAAAATGTATAATATTAGGATATGTATGAGATGCACAAGTGTCTTCACTTTCCAGCACATTGTACATATCCTTCATATGAGCACTATATATACTGCGCACTATGTTTCCACAATGGAAAGCTTCAACTGTAAATTGTTCATTTTCATTATGCAATATTATGTATAACTGTATATAGGGAGAAGGCGGTAATAAGTGCTGCCCTTTGTCTTTTTGGACAATAAAATATGTTTAATAATATTTCATCTGGTGATCTGACAAAGTTAATATTTTCAAGTCAAGATATCAACTTTAGTAAACCACATGAAGGGATAAACATTGCATTTGACAAAATAAATTCAAGTCTTATATTTTCTTTGTGATCTTCATGACCTTACTCAGAAAACCATAGTGTCAATGAGGCAGACTGACTGTAGGTGTGACAAAACGTGATATTTCACCTGATTTTCACTCCAGCGAAAGTATGTTTTCAACATGGTTAGACTAAACAAAGTATTTCATGATTAAATACATACCGGTAATGCAAATATCAAAACGTGTTTCATTAAAACAAGAGTGAATTTCTGTGTCACATTGATATAAAGAGCTTTAGTTGAGTTTACTGTTAACAAAGAATATACTGTTTGAGTTTTCGACATATCAGATGAATTGATGCCTTCAAGATTGTTCTTAAGTAGCATGTAATGTTACACACTGTGATTAAATTTCCTTAAACTTCTCTATTTCAGAAGAATGTTGTTTTCTAAATAAGCAATATTTTGAGAGAAGGTGAATATGCATTGTTCATAAATATTTTTATTGAAGTAGGAATATTATTACAATATTATTGAATTATTCATTTCAGGCCAGCGAGTCAACACAATGAAGTACTAGTATCCGGTGACTGGAGGAGCTTTCTGCTGACAGTAACACAATGGTTACAATGTGCGTCCTGTCAAAGGACGAGGAAGTGAAAAGCCATAATCATTTAATCAACAAATGTGCTTCCTGTCATATTTCACTTAAATGGGACGAGGAAGTGAAAAGCCTTATTCACTCACAAATCAACATTGCCAATATTTATCGGACACTGAAAAAGCACATTGTACCATTTGTTTACAAGCAAGAAAATTATTTTCTCCTGGAATTTAATTAGGTGCTTTTGACTGACAAAGACACCCAGTCCATGTTAAGTTTTGAAAACTTATATTGTGAGAAATAAAGATATGAAAATTTTGGTTTGTTTTTCTTTGTTAAATATGAGAAATCCAGATTGTTCCATCAACATAATTTGTACCGATACATATATTTTATCTTGGCTTGATTACCAATTGAAGTTGATTCCTTTATATCTTTTGTTATTTTATCTGTACTCATATCTGATCAAGACATTTTCAAACTATTCAGGATAAATGTATTAGTAGCTTCCTTTTGATATACAATTACCTATCATCATACAGGATTAGGTGAGGGTGTTCAAGAAGTTGGTAGTTGTATCAATTCTTATATTTCTTCAGTTTCATACATTATTTATATTTATCAATTTTTAGTTTCCCTTTAACTTATTTTAAACAGTTCACACATTATTACTTTTGTCGTGCACGGTGCAATCTCAATCGGCAATAATCAGTTAAGTAAGTGATGTTTGAAAGTATCATCTGTCATTGTACACACTGAATAGAGTTATCGCCCCTTCTGAATATTTATTTTGACACACGAATTATTTTCATAATTAACATTGTAATATGTTAAAATGAAAATCTTAGCAGAAAAAGTGTCTTTTGTCAACTGGACTCATGGCAAAACGATAGTGCGTTGTGCAGCAAACACCACTATTATGAAACGTGAAATAAACATGATCTCAATCTTGATCTAGAGTTTGCCAAGCCACGCATTGACTGAGCAAAACTTCTGTCATTGAATGTACTGTCACATTGTATCTATATGCCGACGAGGTTATGATAAAACAATCTATTTCTGAAATACATATCTCGAAATGCACCTTTCGATTCACTTCCGGGATCCTGACAGCAAAATGCTAATTCCAGTGTATTACAGGCATATTTTAGTTGGACCTCATGATTTAATGTGAAATATCTTCTGTATTAGATACAGAGGATACCATTTTTTGTTTGTTTAAAATGTCCATCAGTGAAATGCACAACATGCTGTCTGTTCCCTATGAGCTGATGCGACTCTCACTGCATGGAGCTATGCTCTCCAAGCCTCGTTTTCGATCCAAGATGGCGAAAGTGTGAAAAAGGTCAATTGCAGCTCACTGATAGGCATGTGGCTTATACATACATTATATGCACTTTTAGTACCACATATTTGAAATAGGTGATGGCTATGATAGTTAATATTTATACAAAATGTATAAGAATGTAAAGATTTTGTTAATCAGATACGCTAGTTGTTTCCAGGTATGTAACGAGTTCTAAGTTTCCCGCTTCACTTAAGATTTAAAATCACGTTTCTTCGGGAGAGAGTTTCATCATTTTGACAAGTTTCCTGTTTGGGAGTTGAAGCAGGCCACTCAATTTGAGAATAATTTGCAGATGTTTTGATGAAAATTGGTATGTATCCATTTATGTTAACTATTTATGTCCAATTTTGCGGTATCAGATAACAGTACCATGTTCGTATACTGTGATGCTGTTGATTTAAAGTTAAACAAATTTCAAAATGAAGCCATCAAGCTAGTTTAGTAAAGTATCCGTTTCTGTCATAATATCATGTCCCTAAAGATTTCGTATTTCGTTATATTTACAGGAAAATGAACAATACAATGAGATACCACTGTTTGGTGTGAGGTGCCACTGTTTACAAGGGTGTAA